CTGTAGACCCAGGTACTCGGGAGGCTGAGGCAGGAGAATTGCTTGAAACCAGGAGGTAGAGGTTGCGGTAAGCCAAGATCGCACCATTGCACTCCAGTCTGGGTAACAACAGAGAAACTCCATCTCAAAAAAAAAAAAAAAAAAGAAAGAAAGAAAGAAAAGAAAAGAAAAGAGAAGAGAAGAAAGAAAAAGGAAAGAAAGAAAGAAAGGTTCTAGCCACAGCTGGATTTCCTCCTTGAGCTGCAGCCTGGTCCCTACCCTGGGGATATTAGCATTTCAGGAGAACATGCTTCAGGCTTTCCAAAGCTGACATTGGTGTCTTCCTGTATTCAGTGAGCCCTTCTTTCTGGAAATGGGGGATTGAGGGGAGTAGGGGGTAGTAGGGGAAGGTGGTCCACCTCGAGGTCTGGTCAGGCCAGCACTAGAACAGGAGAAAGGGCCTCATGTCATCAGAGATTGCAAATTCCGGATGAGGGATGGCCAAAGTTTTTTTTTTTTTTTTTTGTGAGACGGAGTTTCACTCTTGTTACCCAGGCTGGAGTGCAATGGCGTGATCTTGGCTCACCGCAACCTCTGCCTCCTGGGTTCAGGCAATTCTCCTGCCTTAGCCTCCCGAGTAGCTGGGATTACAGGCATGTGCCATCATGCCCGAGCTAATTTTTTTGTCTTTTTAGTAGAGACAGGGTTTCACCATGTTGACCAGGATGGTCTCGATCTCTCGACCTTGTGATCCACCCGCCTCGGCCTCCCAAAGTGCTGGGATTACAGGCGTGAGCCACCGCGCCCGGCCGGCCAAAGATTTTTTATACCCTATCTCTCAATCTACTCATTTTCACTCAAGAAAATAACACACCAACAACAGAATAAAACTAAGGGCATGGAAAAACTGGAATTATATGGCAGATATATATGTATATATATTTTTAGACAGAGTCTGGCTCTGTCTCCCAAGCTGGAGTGCATGGTGCGATCTCAGCTCACTGCAACCTCTGCCTCCTGAGTTCAAGCGAGTCTCCTGTCTCAGCCTCCTGAGTAGCTGGCATTACAGGCACACACCACCACACCCGGCTAATTTTTGTATTTTTAGTAGAGATGGGGTTTCACCGTGTTGGTCAGTCTGGTCTCAAACCCCTGACCTCATGATCCACCCGCCTTGGCCTCTCAAAGTGCTGGGATTACAGGTGTGAACCACAGTGCCCAGCCGGCAGCAATATCTTATAAAGGAATCAAAAGAAAAGTAAAGCAAACATTTAAAGTAGTTCAGGTAACCAGCCTGCTTCATGCATAGTTCACAAGGAAAACCCACTGTCAGAAGGTAAAGTATATTTCCAAGCTTGGAAGTCAAACCATGACTGCTAAAATGGAGCCCGCCCCCGCAGGGCGGATCAGTGCCAGATGATGAGGCAGAGAAAATGAAGGATTTATCTGGAAATTCAAAATGGCCTTCTGTCCCCTTCTCAGTTTAGAAATTATTCTCTCCTTTAAGACCTTCATTTTCACCAACAGGAATCTCTCAACTCGAGTTAGTTTAAGCTAAATTTACTGTTAAATTAATAAACCCTTTCTCTAGGAGACATCCCAAATGGATCTTGTTCTAAGTCTGACCTTCACAGATTTTCATTCTAGTGACTCTTTGCATAATTAGAGAATTCTTGTCTGAGGAAAGTGAGTTCTTTTAATTATCAGGACCCTAGAGACATTAAAATGAGAAAGCAGGCTAGGCGAGGTGGCTTACGCCTGTAATCCTAGCACTTTGGGAGGCCAAAGTGGGCAGATCAGGAGGTCAGGAGACCGATACCATCCTGGCCACAAGGTGACACCCTGTCTCTACTAAAATGCAAAAAATTATCCTGGCATGGTGATGTGAGCCTGTGGTCCCAGCTACTCGGGAGGCTGAGGCAAGGGAATTGCTTGAACCCAGGAGGCGAAGGATACAGTGAGCTGAGATCGTGCCACTGCACCCCAGCCTGGCGACAGAGCAAGACTGGGTCTCAAAAAAAAAAAAAAACCAATCCCACCCGAGTCGGGGCCCAGTGGCTCAATGCCTATAATCCCAGTACTTTGGGAGGCCAAGTCAGATGGATCACCAAGTCAGGAGATCAAGACCATCCTGGCCAACAGAGTGAAGCCCCTACAAAAAATTAGCCAGGTGTGGTGGTATGCTCCTGTAGTCCCAGCTACTCGGAAGGCTGAGGCAGGGGAATCGCCTGAATTCAGGAGGCAGAGTTTGCAATGAGCCAAGATCACACCACTGCACTCCAGCCTGGTGACAGAGCAAGACTCCATCTTAAATAAATAAATACACCTGAAAGTGGTGCTAATTGAAGTGTATATTCAGGGCAACTTGAATCTGTGCTCCAGTGTCAATCCTCAAGCCTAGCCCAAATAAACGCTTTGCTTACATTAATTTTGCCTTAGGTTCTTCCTCTTAGGTTGACAATGACAAAACCAAAACATTCTGCAAAAAACGGCCACAACACAACCAGAGTTACAACCTCAGAAAGAAAGTTTTTTTTTGGTTTTTTTTTTTTTTTTTTTTTTTTTTGAGACAGAGTTTCGCTCTTGTTACCCAGGCTGGAGTGCAATGGCGCGATCTCGGATCACCGCAACCTCTGCCTCCTGGGCTCAGGCAATTCTCCTGCCTCAGCCTCCTGAGTAGCTGGGATTACAGGCACGAGCCACCATGCCCAGCTAATTTTTTGTATTTTTAGTAGAGACGGGGTTTCACCATGTTGACCAGGATGGTCTCGATCTCTCGACCTCGTGATCCACCCGCCTCGGCCTCCCAAAGTGCTAGGATTACAGGCTTGAGCCACCACGCCCGGCCTCAGAAAGAAAGTTATAACTCGCATGCCCTGCTAAAAATCAATGAATGATGATTACACCATTGCACTCCAGACTGGACAATAGAGTGAGACCCTGTCTCAAAAAAAAAAAAAAAAAAAAAAAAAATGTCTTCCAGGACTTCGATAGCTCGGGTAAGTACCTCATGCACTTTAGTTACTTCTATTCTCCTTATTTTGTCCCCTGCTCATTCAAGGAAAACATAATGTTATAACCAGACAATCATCTGCTGTAAATACTGGAATTCTTAGCACAACCCTGAGAAATCCACACTCACAGAGGGCGTGTGGATATTAAAGATGGCTGGCTCACTAACAGGGAGAGCGTCACCAACTTTTTCTGGAAAATGCCTCAAAGCAGTTAACTGGAAAATTTTTCTGTTTCTGTGTTTTCCTTTGTTTGTTTGTTTAAGACGAGGTCTTCTCTGTCGCTGAGGCTAGAGGACAGTGGTGCCATCTTGGCTTACTGCAGCCTTGACCTTCTGGGCTCAAGCCATGCTACTGCCTTAGCCTCCAGAATAGCTAGGACTACAGATACAGGCCACTAGCCCCGGCTACCTTAAATTTTGTATAGAGACAGTCTCCCTATATTGCTTAAGCTGGTCTGGAACTCCTGGCCTTAAGTGATCCCCCACCTTGCTGTCCCAAAGCGTTGGGATTATAGGCAGGAGCCATTGCGCTTGGCTCCCCTTGGAAGACTTTTATTTATTTATTTATTTATTTATTTATTTATTAAAGATGGGGTTTCACCATGATGGCCAGGCTGGTCTTGAACTCCTGACCTCAGGTAATCCACCCACCTCAGCCTCCCAAAGTGCTAGGATTACAGGCGTGAGCCACTGTGCCTGGCTCGGAAGTCTTTTATGTGGGAACATACAATTGATAGAAGTAAAGATTTTTTTTTTTTTTTTTTTTGAGACGGAGTTTCCCTCTTGTTATCCATGCTGGAGTGCAATGGCGTGATCTCAGCTCACCGCAACCTCCGCCTCCTGGGTTCAGGCAATTCTCCTGCCTCAGCCTCCCGAGTAGCTGGGATTACAGGCACACACCACAATGCCCAGCTAATTTTTTGTATTTTTAGTAGAGACGGGGTTTCACCTTGTTGACCAGGATGGTCTCGATCTCTTGACCTCGTGATCCACCCGCCTCGGCCTCCCAAAGTGCTGGGATTACAGGCTTGAGCCACCGCGCCCAGCCTAAGATTTTTAAATAATAAAAATGGGGGTCTCCTTGTGTTGACCAGGTTGGTCTTCAACTCTTTGTTTTAAGCGATGCTCCAGTCTAGGCCCCCCTGAAATGCTAGGATTACAGGCATGAAACATTGCACCCTGCCTGTGTTTGGGTCACAATCTCTCCGAGATTGGATAAAGGGAAAGAAAGAGCCAGGCACAGTGGCTCACACCTGTAACCCCAGCACTTTGGGAGGCCAGGGTGGGCAGATCACCTGACGTCGAGAGTTCGAGACCAGCCTGACCAACATGGAGAAATCCCGTCTCTACTAAAAATACCAAATTAGCCAGGCCTGGTGGCACCTGCCTGTAATCCCAGCTACTCAGGAGGCTGAGGCAGGAGAATCGCTTGAACCTCGGAGGTGGAGGTTGCAGTGAGCCGAGATTGTAGCCACTGCACTCCAGCTGGGCCACAAGAGCAAAACTGTCTCAAGAAAAAAAAAAAAAGGTGGGGGGAGGGGAGGAATAAAGGGGAGAGGGGTTGGTTTCATCAATGGAGATTCTCTGCAGATGCTAATTTTTCTTCTCAAAGACAACTTTGCCAGGCCACTTTTGTTTGCGACCGAGCGACAGCCATTTCAAAATCTGTCAAAGAAAAATATTTTTGCTTAAAATATTTTAATTTCCTTCACCTCCACTGGACTCCAAGTCTGGAATTCCCTGCGCGGGACAAAGGACCAGGAACAGTCCATTGAGTGAGGAAGACAATGGTGCCCCCTCTAGCAATTCGGAGCAAGTTTGACTGAAATGCAAATACCCAAACAGCAAGACGCAGTGGCTCGCTTAGACAATCTGTGCTTAGAACAGGTCAGGTGGGTTCTGCAGGGCCCCGTTACCCAGGGCTTCCGCTGTCAATCAGGACCGAGGGGACGGGGACTGGAGGCTCGTCCAATCACGGGCGCTGGGGCGGGGTCCTGCCAACTGTCCATCCGGGGAAGGGGAGGCCGCATTCCCGCTCTCCTGACTCTCTGGTGTCTTGCACCGAGGGGAGGTCGGGATTTCGGCTTTCCGGCCCCGAGAGGGACCAGGTGCCTCCGCCAGAGCTTCTGTCGCTCGGTCGCCTGCGAAGTGACTGGACTGTTCGAGGGATCCGTGGAGAGGAGGCCAGGACACCTGGAAGCTGCGAAATGGTGAGTGCGCGGGACCGGGGGTCCCGAGACGGGGGAGGGGCTATGTGGAACCGGCCGGAACCGGCTCTGGCGGGATCCGGGCCTCCCCGCAGCGACCTCGGGTCTGTAGACCCGAGTGCTCCTGGCGCAGCTCGGCCCTCGGTCCCTTCGGCCGTAGGGTGGGGTTGGGCCGGCAGCTGGGACCCCGGGCGTCCAGTCGGTCCCTGCGCTGCAACCGCGACCCCGGCCCCGGCCCCGGCCCTGGCCCAGGAGCCCTCTCTGTGCAGCTCCGCGTCTCCCCAGATTGTGCGGGTACCACGGGAGGGTCATGGGGGGAATCCCGCCTCGGGTGTGGGGTTCGTGTGGGAGGAGCAGTGGGCTGTGGGGTCCCCAGTCCCGCCTTTTTTCCTTAAAAACTACACTGAAGGCCAGGCGTAGTGGCTGACGGCTGGGAGGTTGAGGCGGGGGATTGCTTCAGCTCAGAAATTCGAAACCTGCCTGCACAACACTGCGAGACTCCCGTTTCTATAAAAAATAAATTAAAGGTGGGGTGATGCCGCCCGCTTGTAGTCCCAGGTACTCAGTCCCGGGGGGCTGAGGTGGGAGGATGGGGGGCTGAGGTGGGAGGATCGCTTGAGGGAGGAGGTTGATACCGCAATGAGCCGAGGTCGCACCACTGCACTCCAGCCTGGGCGACAGAGCGAGACCTAGTCTCAAACAAAACAAAGCAGAGAGAACAACAACAACAACAACAACAAAACCCTAAACTGAGGCCTCTTAAAAATTAAAGCGTTTTCCGTCTCAGAAGAGGAGTTTGAAAAGAAAAATAGAGTTCACTTGAGCAAACAGCGAATCCTGAATGAGAAACACCCAGTCATGGCTTGTGGTTTAATAACGGAAAAACCAAAACTCTATGCAAAATAACTTGAACTGTATTTTATGCTGAATATGAGAGAACATGACCAAGGGAAACAACCCTCTGAAGCCTCCAGTAAATGGTCCCCAGGAGGTTCAATGGCAGTTTGGTTTTATTCATTTCAGCGGGACAGGAATTGCAGGGAAAATCATAAATCAATGCGTGGAAGACGGGAAGGGCAGGACCCATAGAAGCGGGGCTTAGAAGGCACAGGTGGTTCAGGGATTCTGTAGCTGGCAGTTGGTTGAGAGTGTGAAGTTATGTCCAAAATTTGAAAGGGGCAGGAAGGAATGCATAAGCGAAGAGGGTCTGTTACTTGCCATGTGATTCCATCCCCGTCAAAAAACCGATCTGTTTCACTAGATTTTATGAATTCTAATGCGTGACTTAATCCTTCCCTTGCATGGCCTTAGGTCTTGTTTGCTATTTAGTATTTTATTGGCACAAAGGGTCTCTTTGCAGGTCTTTTTTTGAGATGGAGTCTTCCTCTGTAGCCCAGGCTGGAGTGCACACAATCTTGACTCACTGCAAACTCCGTCTCCCAGATTCAAGCAATTCTCCTGCCTCAGCCTCCCAAGTAGCTAGGATTACAGGTGCCCACCACCTAGCCCGGCTAATTTTGTATTTTTAGTAGAGGCAAGGTTTCACCATGTTGGCCAGGCTGGTCTCGAACTCCTGACCTCAAATGATCCACCCGCCTCAGCCTCCGAAAGTGCTAGGATTACAGGAGTGAGCCACCACACTCAGCCTCTTTGCAGTTATGTCTGTTTTAACATGAATGTGGGTCAGTTGCTGAATCTAAACTCCAGAAAGGAGAGTGTGGAGTGTCTGATCTCCCTTACTGACATAGCTAGGAACTTTCAGGTTTTTGGGGGACCTCCCATTGGTAAAGAACCAGTCTGTCGACTTGATGGAGGTGGGGTGGGGAGCATAGGTTTTTATTTTTAGTTTACAGGTTGAAGGATAGGCTTTCATATGGTGCAACAGAATAAAAATTAAAAAAATACTATATTGGTTACAGTGATGTAGTCACCTTATTTGGACTTTTCAACCTTAAATAATTGAAACGATCAGATTCCCATTATAAGGAGATTATTTGAGCGAAAATCTGAGAATTGCCATTCAGGAAAATACAGATTCTAGGGAAATGGGCTTAGAACTCTAGAGTTAAAAGTTAAACTCTTGGCCGGGCACGGTGGCTCACGCCTGTGATCCCAGCACTTTAGGAGGCCAATGCCGGTGGATCACCTGAGGTCAGGAGTTTGCGACCAGCCTGACCAACATGTAGAAATCCCGTCTCTACTAAAAATACAAATAATTAGTTGGGACCAGGCATGGTGGCTCACGCCTGTAATCCCAGCACCTTGGGAGGCCAAGGCAGGCAGATCACGCGAGGTCAAGAGATGGAGACCATCCTGGCCGTGATGAAACCCCGTCTTTAAAAAAAAAAAAATTAGTTGGGTGTGGTAGTGTGTACCTATAATCCCAGCTACTCAGAACGCTGAGGCAGGAGAATCTTTTGAACCTGGGAGGTGGGGGTTGCAGAGAGCTGAGATTGCGCCATTGCACTCCAGCCTGGGCAGCAAGAGAGAAACACCATTTCAAAAAAAAAAAAAAAATAGCTGGGCATAGTGGCGCATGCCTGTAGTCCCAGCTACCAGGAAAGCTGAGACAGGAGAATCAGTTGAACAGGGGAAGCAGAGGTTGCAGTGAGCCAAGATCACGCCACTGCACTCCAGCCTGGTGACAGAGTGAGACTCAGCCTCAAAAAAAAAAAAAGCCGGGCGTGGTGGCTCAAGCCTGTAATCCCAGCACTTTGGGAGGCCGAGGCGGGTGGATCACAAGGTCGAGAGATCGAGACCAACCTGGTCAACATGGTGAAACCCCATCTCTACTAAAAATAGAAAAAAAAAAAAATTAGCTGGGCATGGTGGCGCGTGCCTATAATCACAGCTACTCAGGAGGCTGAGGCAGGAGAATTGCCTTAACCCAGGAGGCGGAGGTTGCGGTGAGCCGAGATCGTGCCATTGCACTCCAGCCTGGGTAAAAAGAGCAAAACTCCGTCTCAAAAAAAAAAAAAAGTTTAACTCTTGACTGAGTGGGGTGTCCCACACCTGTAATCCTAGCTTTGTGAGGCTGAAGCAGGAGGATTGCTTGAGACCAGAAGTTGGGGACTAGCCTTGGTAGTACAACAAAACCCATCTCTAGAAAAGAAAAAATAGAAAAATTAGACAGGCGTGGTGGCACTCACCTGTAGTTCCAGCCACAAAGCAGTCTGAGGCAGAAGGATCACTGAAGTCCAGGAGTTTGATGCTGCAGTGAGCCAGTATCAAATTTGACATTCCAGCTTGACATTGTGATGGCTGTGAAGTGTTTGTGTGAGAAAGGTAAGAGAGAGAAGTTAATCTATAATGAAGATCAAGAGAAAAGGGGCGGCCAGACGTGCCTGTAATCCAAGCACTTTGGAGGCCAAGGTGGGCGGATCACCTGAGGTCAGGAGTTCAAGACCAGCCTGACCAACATGGTGAAACCCAGTCTTAGGAAAAAAAAAAAAGAAGAAGAGAAAAGGGGCCCTTCCTGGCTCTGTTCAGGCATTTGCAATATTTTACAAAAGAATATAGGTACAAAAGAAAGTTAGTCTGTATTCAGGAATAGGAAGGTTCCAGCTGGCTATGTTACTACTGCCAGTCAGATGATTCAACCCCAGAATCACACTGCTTTAAGCCTCAAGATAGGTTTCACTTTTTTTTTTTTTTTTTTTTTGTGAGACGGAGTTTCGCTCTTGTTACCCAGGCTGGAGTGCAATGGCGCGATCTCGGCTCACCGCAACCTCCGCCTCCTGGGTTCAGGCAATTCTCCTACCTCAGCCTCCTGAGTAGCTGGGATCACAGGCACGCACCACCATGCCCAGCTAATTTTTTGTGTTTTTAGTAGAGACGGGGTTTCACCTCGTTGACCAGGATGGTCTCAATCTCTTGACCTCGTGATCCACCCGCCTCGGCCTCCCAAAGTGCTGGGATTACAGGCTTGAGCCACCGTGCCTGGCCAACTTTTTTTGTATTTTTAGTAGAGACGGGGTTTCACCATGTTGACCAGGATGGTCTCGATCTCTTGACCTTGTGATCTGCCCGCCTCGGCCTCCCAAAGTGCTGGGATTACAGGCTTGAGCCACAGCGCCCGGCCAGGTTTCACATTTTCACCAGCATTTGGTAATGTCAGTGTTTTTTGGATTTTAGCCACTCCACCAAGCAACAATTCAGTGGTGCATTGTTGTTTTCATTTGCTCTTCTCTAATGGCATGCTGTTTTTGATTGGGTGGTTGTTTTCTTATTGAGTTTTGGGAGTTCTTTCTATCTTTTGGGTGTCAGTCCTCCATTAGATAGGTATCTTGCAAATATTTTGTCCCAGTCTACAGCCTGTCTTTTCTTTTTTTTTTGAGATGGAGTCTCCTACTGTCACCCAGGCTGGAGTACAGTGGCATAATCTCAGCTCACTGCAACCTCCGCCTCTTGGGTTCAAGCTATTCTCCTGCCTCAGCCTCCCAGTTAGCTGGGATTACAGGCACCTACCATCATGCCTAGCTAATTTTTTGGATTTTTAGTGGAGACGGGGTTTCACTATGTTGGTCAGGCTGGTCTCCAACTCTTGACCTCAGATGATCCACCCGCCTCGGCCTCCTGAAGTGCTGGGATTACAAGTGTGAGCCATCGAGCCCAACTCTGTCTTTCATTATGTTAAGTGTATTTGCCAAAACAGAAAGTTTTTTATTATTTGAGACAGGATCTCATTTTGTCACCCAGGCCGTAGTGCAGTGGTGTAATCTTGGCTCAGTGCCGCCTCGACCCCACCATGCATGTATATTTACTATAGATCTGGAAGGCTTTTATTTTCTGACCTGGTTGGCCTAGTAGCATCTCCCTTCTCAAGCTGAGTAGAAGGCATCAGAGCAGACATCCTCATCTGTGTCTTATCTTTGGGAGAAAGCAGTTAGTTCTTCACCATCACAAATGAGGGTTGTTTTGCCTTTTTTGTATATACCTTATAGTAGGTTGAGAAAGTTCCTTTGTATTGAGTGGATTTTTTTTTTTTTTTTTTTTTTGAGACGGTGTTTCACTCTTGTTACTCAGGCTGGAGTGCAACACTGAGATCTCAGCTCACTGCAACTTCCACCTCCTGGGTTCAAGCCATTCTTCTGCCTCAGCTTCCCGAGTAGCTGGGATTACAGGCACGTGCCACCACACCCAGCTAATTTTTGTATTTTTAGTAGAGACGGGATTTCCCCATGTTGGCTAGGCTGGTCTCAAACTCCTGACCTCAGGCGATTCATCTGCCTGGGCTTCCCAAAGTGCTGGGATTACAGGCATAAGGCACTGTGCCTGGCCGAGTGTTTGATCATGAAGGGATGTCAAGGTTTGTCATATGCTTTTTCTGCATCTTTTAGAATGTTCTTGTGTTGTTTGCTGTTGATCCTATACTATTAAGGTGTATGGCATGAATGGATTTTCAGAGTTAAAAGCAGCATTGCTTTCCTGAATTTAATGCCACTTCATCATGGGTTATGATATAGTTATATATTACAGCATTCTCTTTTCCAATACTTTGGTAAGTTATTTTCCATTGAAATTTAAAGGAGAGATATTCATGTACAGTATTACAATATAGTCAAGCATTGTCCAGTACCAGATACAGTGCATGTGTGTATATATACACAAACACATGTACACATGTTGCATTTATATACAGTACATTGTTTGGTTATGGTAGGTAATTGGTAAATATTACATGTAACTTGTATATGATATATAATCGCCATATATAAATGGTATTAGACTATATAGCATTATACTGTTACAGTGTAAATTTGTACTTTTTTTTTTTTTTTTTTTTTTTTTTGAGACAGAGTTTCGCTCTTGTTGCCCAGGCTGGAGTGCAATGGCGCGATCTCGGCTCACCGCAACCTCCGCCTCCTGGGTTCAGGCAATTCTCCTGCCTCAGCCTCCTGAGTAGCTGGGATTACAGGCACACGCCACCATGCCCAGCTAATTTTTTGTATTTTTAGTAGAGACGGGGTTTCACCATGCTGACCAGGATGGTCTTGATCTCTTGACCTTGTGATCCACCCACCTCGACCTCCCAAAGTGCTGGGATTATAGGCTTGAGCCACCGCGCCCGGCAATTTGTACATTTTTATCCTTTATAGCATAGCGAGTTTCATTTCCATATCAGCCTGCAGCATAAATTGAATACACCAGTCTCATCCACCTTTGGGAGCAAAGGAGAATCTCACCCTCTTGTTGCTACAGAATATGCCACCCAAAAATATTCATGATCTAAGGGTGTGGTGGCTCATGCCTATACCTCCAGCACTTTGGGAGGCCAAGGATGGCAGATCACAAGGTCAGGAGTTTGAGATTAGCCTGACCAACTTGGTGAAACACTGTCTCTACTAAAAATATAAAAATTAACCAGGTGTGGTGGCACATGCCTGTAATCCCAGCTACTCAGGAGGGTGAGGCAGAAGAATCGCTTGAACCCAGGAGGCAGAGGTTCTGGTAAGCCAAGATCACACCATTGCACTCCTGTCTGGGCAACAGAGTGAAACTCCATCTCAAAAAAAAAAAAAAGAGAGACACACACAAAAGTGGGTTGCTGAAATATGTGATAATTTTATTATTTTTTTCAAGCACCATCATGCTATAGGGGCTGAACCATTTACAGTCCTTTGGACAGAGCACATAGGGTTCATTTTCTCTCTTTTTTTTTTTTTTTGAGACGGAGTTTCACTCTTGTTACCCAGGCTGGAGTGCAATGGCGCGATCTCGGCTCACCGCAACCTCCGCCTCCTGGGTTCAGGCAATTCTCCTGCCTCAGCCTCCCGAGGAGCTGGGATTTCAGGCATGCGCCACCATGCCCAGCTAATTTTTTGTATTTTTAGTAGAGACGGGGTTTCACCATGTTGACCAGGATGGTCTCGATCTCTTGACCTTGTGATCCGCTCGCCTTGGCCTCCCAAAGTGCTGGGATTACAGGCTTGAGCCACCATGCCCGGCCCATTTTCTCTCTTAATGGAGTTCTCTCACACCATTTCACACAAAAGTTTTTGTATTTGATAAATATTTACCTTTTTGTTGAGACTGGACACCCTGGAGTTTTTGCCTCTCAATCTTGTTGCCATTCAACTTTCAGCAATTCATCAATTATAATCCAGGCATTTCTATCCAAGCACAGTTTCCAAGAAAGGTTTCTGCTCTTGATTTTTTGTTTTAGTTAGTTATGACTCTTATAAGTCAGATTGGTAGGGCCTCAGCCAGCCACGGTGACTCATGCCTGTAATTCCAGTACTTTGGGAGGCCGAGGCAGGCAAATCACTTGTGGTCAGGAGTTTGAGACCAGCCTGGCCAACATGGTGAAACCCTGTCTCTATTCAAAATAACAAAAATTAGCTGGGTGTGGTGGCACGTACTTGTGGTCCCAGCTACTTGGGAGGCTGAAATGGAGGAATAGCTTGAACCCAGGAGGCAGAGGTTGCAGTGAGCAGAGATTGCACCACTGCTCTCCAGCCTGGCATCAGAGCAAGACTCCATCTCAAAAAAAAAAAAAAAAAAAAGTCTGATGGATCAAATAGTGGAATAAATGTTTGGAGTTCCCCACAGCACCATGGGAATTTCGTAGGAATAGAGTGTAGGAACCCAGTGCTGTCAGTCTCACCCGTGTTTCTTTACCTATGTGAGATGTTTCAGGACTCAGTGGCCTTTGAGGATGTAGATGTGAACTTCACCCAGGATGAGTGGGCTTTGCTGGATCCTTCCCAGAAGAATCTCTACAGAGATGTAATGCAGGAGACGTTCAGGAACCTGGCTTCTGTAGGTAAGAGTAACAGCATTACTTTCCTCAGTGAATTAGAGAACAAGTATTTGTAGCTTGTCAGTACTATTGGGTGATTTGGAGGGTGGATAGGGAATAGAAATATGAATAAGTGAAGCAAGGCTACAGTGTACCATGAACATAGAATCTAGTAATTTTTTCATAATTTTACTAATTCAGGACTATTTTTCTGTGGCTGTATTTTAGGTAAAAAATGGAAAGATCAGAAAATTGAAGATGAGTACAAAAATCCCAGGAGTAACCTAAGGTAATTTGCATTCACAAGACAAAGCAGTGTCTCTCTATAGGCAATCATAGAATGGAATAAAATGGGCTGGGTGCAGTGGCTCATGCCTGTAATCCCAGCACTTTGGGACGCTGAGGCGTCCTGAGGATCACCTGAGGTTGGGAATTCGAGACCAGCCTGACCAACATGTGGAAACCTGTCTCTACTAAAAAATATAAAATTGGGCCGGGTGCGGTGGCTCTTGCCTGTAATCCCAGCACTTTGGGAAGGTGAGGCGTTCAGATCAGGAGGTCAAGGGATCAAGACAAAAATTAGCTGGGTGTGGTGGTGGGCACCTGTAGTCCCAGCTACTCAGGAGGCTGAGACAGGAGAATCACTTGAACCCGGGAGGCAGAGGTTGCAGTGAGCTGAGATCATGCCACGTATCCAGCCTGGTGACAGAATGAGACTCCATCTCAAAAAAAATACAAAATTAGCCGGGGGTTGTGGCGGATGCCTGTAATCCCAGCTACTTGGAAGGCTGAGGCAGGAGAATCACTTGAACCCTGGAGGCAGAGGTTGCGGTGAGCTGAGATCCTGCCATTGCACTTCAGCCTGGGCAACAAGAGCAAAACTCCATCTCAAAAAAAAAAAAAAAAAAGGAAGAAAATGTTAAAAAGAGCCGGGCACAATGGCTCATACGTGTAGTCCCAGCACTTTGGGAGGTTGAGGCAGACATATCACAAGGTCAGGAGTTCGAGATCAGTCTGGTCAACATGGTGAAACCCTGTCTCTACTAAAAATACAAAAATTAGCTAGGCATGGTGGTGTGTGCCTATAATCCCAGAAGGCTGAGGCAGGAGAATCACTTGAATCTGGGAGGTGGAGGTTGTAGTGAGCCAAGATTGCGCCACTGCACTCCAGCCTGGGCAATAGAGTGAGACTCTGTCTCACAGAGAGAAAAAAAAAAAAAAAAGTTAAAAAGAAGCAAACAAGAAATAAGCCAACTTCCACTGTATTTATTCGAAGCAATTTTTCTCTAAAAACATGTATTTAAGTGTGTTATAGGCTGAATATCATGGCTGAAGCCTATAATCCAGCCCTTTAGAAAGTTCAGGTCAGAGGATTGCTTAAGCTGAAGAGTTTGAGGCTGTACTCGGCCATGACAGCACCATTACAATATAGCTGGGGTTAAAGGGCAAGACCGTGACTCAGAAGCAATAAAACTGACAGACAGTTAGTACTTGTAAAATAGTTTACTCGAAAACAGCATTGGCTGGGTGCTCAGGTGCATGCCTGTAATCCTAACAACTTTAATAGTGGCAGGCAAATTGCTTAAATCTAGGCATTTGAGACCAGCCAAGGGAAATGTGACAAAACCCCATCTCTATTAAAAAATACAAAACCAGGCCAGGTGCACTGGCTCGTGCCTGTAATCCCAGCACTTTGGGAGACGAGGCAGGGGGATCACAAAGTCAAGAGATCAAGACTAGCCTGGCCAACATTCTGAAACCCTTCTCTACTAAAAAGTACAAAAATGGCCGGGCGCGGTGGCTCAAGCCTGTAATCCCAGCACTTTGGGAGGCTGAGGCGGGTGGATCACGAGGTCAAGAGATCGAGACCATCCTGGTCAACATGGTGAAACCCCGTCTCTACTAAAAATACAAAACATTAGCTGGGCATGGTGGCATGTGCCTGTAATCCTAGCTACTCAGGAGACTGAGGCAGGAGAATTGTCTGAACCCGGGAAACGGAGGTTGCGGTGAGCCGAGATTGCGCCACTGCACTCCAGCCTGGGTAACAAGAACGAAACTCCGTCTCAAAAAAAAAAAAAAAAAAAAAAAGTACAAAAATTAGCTGGACGTGGTGGTGCGCACCTGTAGTCCAGCTACTCAGGAGGCCGAGGCAGGAGAATTGCTTGAACCTGGGAGTTGGAGGTTGCAGTGAGTCAAGTTTGCACCACTGCACTCCAGCCTGGCATCAGCGAGACTCGGTCTCAAAAAAAAAAAAAAAAAATAGCCAGGCATGATAGTGTATGCTTGTAGTCTCAGCTAATCGGGAGGCTAAAGTGGCAGGATGGCTTAAAATTGGGAAATGGAGGTTGCAGTGAGCTGGGATCTCACCACCACACTCCAGCTTAGATGACAGAGTAAGACCCTATCTCAAAAATATATTTAAATGTATTAAGAAGCCCCATATCAATATTATCTTTCTAGATAACAGATATAGCTGGGCCATCTTGTAGAGCAAGTGGTCTGTTCATGTTCAGACAGGACAGAAAGCCTATACATTGCTGGACAGTGCGCCTATAATCCCAGCACTTTGGGAGGCTGAGGCGGGTGGATCACGAGGTCAAGAGATCGAGACCATCCTGGTCAACATGGTGAAACCGCGTCTCTACTAAAAATACAAAAATTAGCTGGGCATGATGGTGCTTGCCTGTAGTCCCAGCTACTCGGGAGGCTGAGGCAGGAGAATTGCTTGAACCCAGGAGGCGGAGGTTGCGGTGAGCCGAAATCGTGCCATTGCACTCCAGCCTGGGTAACAACAGCAAAACTCTGTCTCAAAAAAAAAAAAAAAAAAAAAAATGCAAGTGCAGACCGGCGCGGTGGCTTATGCATGTAATCCCAGCAGTTTGGGAGGCCAAGGTGGGCAGATCACAAGGTCAGGAGATGGACACCATCCTGGCCAACATGGTGAAACCCCGTCTCTACTAAAATACAAAAAATTAAGCAGGCATGGTAGTATGTGCCTGTAATCTCCGCTACTCTGGAGGCTGAGGTAGGGGAATTGCTTGATCCCGGGAGGTGGAGGTTGCAGCAAGCCAAGATCACACCACTGCACTAAAGGAAGAAAGAAAAATTAGCTGGGCAGGATGGCTTGAGACTGGGAGATGGAGGTTGCAATGAGCTGAGATCTCACTACCACACTCCAGCCTGGATGATAGAGTGAGACCCTATCTCAATTTTTTTTAAAAAAGTACTAAGAAGCCCTGTATCAATATTATCTTTCTTGATAACAGGTATAGCTGGGCCATCCTGTAAAGCATGTGGTCTGTTTACATTCAGACAGGGCAGAAAGCCTACACATTGCTGGAGAGTGTTTAAAAGTCCCAGTGCAATAATTTGTTAATGAATATTAAATCAGTGGTAAAGAAACCCATTATGATATACTTCTCATTGTTCACAGAGGTCTTATGGGAGAGAGACTCTTGGAAAGTAAAAAAGATCATCAGCTTGGAGAAATTCTGACCCAGGTTCCAGATGACATGCTGAAGAAGAAAACTCGAGTGAAATCACGTGGAGAAGTCAGCGTGGGTCATGCATCCCTTAGAAGGCACCTTAGAGCTGACACTGGACACAAGCCATATGAGTGTCAGGAATATGGACAGAAGCCATATAAATGTACATACTGTAAGAAAGCCTTCAGCGATCTCCCCTACTTTCGAACACACGAATGGGCTCACACTGGAGGGAAACCTTATGACTGTGAGGAATGTGGAAAAAGCTTTATTTCCCGTTCAAGCATTCGAAGACACAGGATAATGCACAGTGGAGATGGACCCTATAAATGTAACTTTTGTGGGAAAGCCTTGATGTGTCTCAGTTTGTATCTTATCCACAAACGAACTCACACTGGAGAGAAACCATATGAATGTAAACAATGTGGTAAAGCCTTTAGTCATTCTGGTAGTCTTCGAATTCATGAAAGAACACACACTGGGGAGAAGCCTTATGAATGCAGTGAATGTGGGAAAGCATTCCATAGTTCCACATGCCTTCATGCACATAAAATAACTCACACTGGGGAGAAGCCATATGAATGTAAACAGTGTGGGAAAGCCTTTGTTTCTTTCAATTCTGTTCGATATCATGAAAGGACGCACACTGGAGAGAAACCTTATGAATGTAAGCAATGTGGAAAAGCCTTCAGATCTGCCTCGCACCTTCGAACACATGGAAGGACTCACACTGGAGAGAAACCTTATGCATGTAAGCAATGTGGGAAAAACTTTGGATGTGCCTCGAGTCTTAAAATGCATGAAAGGACTCACACTGGAGAAAAACCCTGTAGTTCCAGCAATTTGGAAGGCCGAGGCGAGAAGATCGATTAATTCACATAAGATTCCTTGAAGCCACGGAATCCAATCATGGCAAAAATGTGTTTCCCTCAAATAATGGGAACCATCAGAAAATGATTCTGAAGCTTCTGCAGTCACTTGTCATCTGACAGCATCACAAATAAATGCCAGTAACCCAAGAGCAAAAAGTTTTGGGGGTTAGTTTAGCTGATGCCTCACTCTGAGACCTAGGACACAGAGTTGGAAATAACTATTAAGAGAGACACATCTCAAACAGGCACAGTGGCTCATGCCTGTAATCTCAGTATTTGGGGAGGCTGAGGTGGGTGGATCATGCAGGAGTTTGAGACCAGCCTGGCCAACATGGTGAAACCCCATCTCTACTAAAAATACAAAAAAATTAGCTGGGTGTGGTGGCACAGACCTGTAATCCCAGCTACTCAGGAGGTTGAGGCAAGAGAATCACTTGAACCTGGGAGACAAAAGGTTGCAGTGAGCAGAGATCACACCACTGCCCTACAGCCTGGGAGACAGAGTGAGACTCTGTCTCAAAAAAAAAAAAAGGCACAGCTCCAGTAAGACGTTAAGACAGTTCCGTCATTCAAACAAACAAACAAACAAACAAAAAAAAACCGGAAGATTTAGCTGGGCATGGTGGCTCATGCCTGTAATCCTAATACTTTGGGAGGCCAAGGCAGGCAGATCACACGGTCAGGAGTTCCAGACCAGCCTGGTGAAACCCTATCTCTACTAAGAAATACAAAAATTAGCTGGGTGTGGTGGCATGCACCAGTAGTCTCAGCTACTCAGGAGGCTGAGGCAGGAGAATTGTTTGAACCCAGGAGGTAAAGGTTGCAGTGAGCTGAGATCGTGCCACTGCACTCCAGCCTGGGTGACAGAGTGAGACTCCATCTCAAAAAAAAAAAAAAAAAAAAACAGGTTAGCCCAGCAAAGTGGCAGGTGTATATATACAGGAAAGTCTGTTCCCTCCTATTGAAAGCTCAATACCTAAGCAGCAAGCCCTCACTTTAAGAAACTCACTAAAGGGATAACTGAGTTAACCATTGTCAGACTCATTGCCTAAGAAAGACTTTTATCAAAACAAAAGGCTAAAGTTCCTATTCATAAATATCCCTAAAATATCCTATCCCGGCTGGGCGCGGTGACTCAAGCCTGTAATCCCAGCACTTTGGGAGGCCGAGGCGGGTGGATCACGAGGTCAAGAGATCGAGACCATCCCGGTCAACATGGTGAAACCCCGTCTCTACTAAAAATACAAAAAGTTAGCTGGGTGTGGTGGCGCGTGCCTGTAATCCCAGCTACTCAGGAGGCTGAGACAGGAGAGTTGCCGGAACCCAGGAGGCGGAGGTTGCGGTGAGCCGAGATCGCGCCATTGCACTCCAGTCTGGGTAATGAGAGTGAAACTCCGTCTAAAAAAAAAAAAAAAAAAAAAAAAAATCCTATCCCCTAGTATAGGATATTAATAAATGGTTGGCTATTGAATATACTACATATTTTATACCATTCTTTCTCATGCGTTTTTATTTTTTTTGAGATAGAGTCTCGGTCTATTACTGAGGCTGGAGTGCAGTGGCACATTCTTGGCTCCCCACAACCTCTGCCTCCTGGGTTCCAGTGATTCTCCTGCCTCAGCCTCCCAAGTAGCTATTTTACAGGCATGAGCCACCATGCCCAGCCTCTAATCTCTTTTTTTTCTTTTTTCAAGATAGTCTCACTCTGTTGCCCAGGCTGAAATGTGGTGGTGCAATCTTGGCTCACTGCAGCTTCCACCTCCTGGCTTCAAGCACTTCTCCTGCCTCAGCCTCCTGGGTATCTGGGATTACAGGCACCCACCACCACTCCAGGCTATTTTTTTATATTTTTTAGTAGAGACAGGATTTTACCATGTTGGTCAGGCTGGTCTTAAACCCCTGACCTCAAGGAATTTGCACCAAGGCCTCCCAAAGTGCTAGGATTACAGGTGTTAGCACCATGGGAGACAGAGTGAGACTCTGTCTCAAAAAAAAAAAAAAAAAAAAAAAAAAAAGGCACAGCTCCAGTAAGACGTTAAGACAGTTCTGTCATTAAAAAAAAAAAAAAATAGAAGATTTAGCTGGGCATGGTGGCTCATGCCTCTAATTTTTTTTTTTTTTTCGATGGAGTCTTGCTCTGTCACGCAGGCTGAAGTATATTGGCACGATCTCAGCTCACTGCAACCTCTGCTTCCTGGATTCAAGCGATTCTCCTGCCTCAGCCACCCGTATAGCTGGGATTAGAGGCGTGCACCACAGTACTGAGCTAATGTTTTGTATTTTTAGTAGACACAGGCTTTCTCCATATTGGCCAGGCTGGTCTTGAACTCCTGACCTCAAGTGATCCACCTGCCTCAGCCTCCCAAAGTGGTGGGATTACAAGCCTGAGCTACATCAGGCGTAATCTCTTTTTAAAGTACTTTTTTCTTTTCTTTTTTTTTTTCTTTTTTTTTTTTTTGATGGAGTTTCGCTCTTGTTACCCAGGCTGGAGTGCAATGGCGCAATCTAATCTCGGCTCACCGCAACCTCCACCTCCTGAGTTCAAGCAATTCTCCTGCCTCAGCCTCATGAGTAGCTGGGATTACAGGCATGTGCCACCGTGCCCAGCTAATTTTTTGTATTTTTAGTAGAGACAGGGTTTCACCATGTTGACCGGGATGGTCTCTATCTCTTGACCTCGTGATCCACCCGCCTCGGCCTCCCAAAGTGCTGGGATTACAGGCATGAGCCATCGCGCCCGGCAAGTACTTTTTTCTTTAATGAATGTGTTAAATGAAAACCATTTTTCTTTCTTTGTTTTTTTTGAGATGGAGTTTCGCTCTTGTTGCCCAAGCTGGAGTCCAATGGTGCAACTTGGCTTACTGCCACCTTGGCCTACCAGGTTCAAGCAATTCTCCGGCCTCAGCCTCCGAGTAGATGGGATTGCAGGCATGTGCCACTGTGCCCAGCTAATTTTATATTTTTAGTAGAGACAGGGTTTTGCCACATTGGCCAGGCTGGTCTCAAACTCCCAACTGGGTGATCTGCCTGCCTTGGCCTCCCAAAGTGCTGGGATTACAGGCATGAGCTACTGTGCCCAGCCTGAAAACCTTTTTTCTAATCACAAATATTTTCTTTTTTGTTTATTTTTTTAGAGATTTGGTCTTGCTATGTGGACCCAGCTGGAGCGCAGTGGTATTCATAGGTGTCATCTTAGTGCACTAGTACTTCAAATACTGGGCTCACAATCCTACCTCACCCTGCCAAGTAGCTGTCACTACATGTGTCAGCTGCTGTGCCTGGCTTCCACTTTTTTTTTTTTTTAATCTTTAATCAGTTCCCTTTAAAGACCAAAGAAAACCTTTCCTCTTGTGTGGCCTGAGTTGATCTATGAACAGTATTCACTATGACCTAGGAAATCCCACAAAGTTACGCATGTTAAAAGGATGAAACTCTCATGTTCACTGTAAGTACTCCTGTGAAGGTGCTCAGGCCATCACGGGTACGACTAAATGAAAAGCCACGAAGTATCTGAAATATTTTCTTTTACAGAAATTATATGTACCATTGCAACCTTAGAAGGTGGAGTTGGTAGCTGTACCCAAGACAACCAACACGGGCTAGACTCAGCATCAGTGGCCCAGAAGAGGTACTGAAATTTGCTTAAAAATGCAGAGTTATGCTGCATTTAAGGGTATAGATGTAGATTCCCTGGTCATTGAGCACATCCAGGGGGAATAAGGCACCCATTAACGTATCACTTGACTTACAGAACTCATGGGCAGACGAACCCATCCACAGACTCCTCCTGCGATATCCAGATGATGCTTAGTGAAAAGAAACACGTTGTTCCAAAAGCAGAAAAGGAGACGACTGTACAGAAGAAAAAGACAAGAAGCATAAACTTAAGAGACAAATTCAGCAAAAGAAGATGCAAATAAAAGTTCAAAACAAAAAAACAACTTTAAAATTCATAAAACAAAATGACATACTCTGTTATAAAGTATGCCTCCATGATAGCTCGCCAATAAAAGTTGGCTATAATAGGTGAAATGAAGATAGCTGTTGGTGACCAGCATATTCTGGGTCTATGATAAGTCAGAGAAGGATGCTTTTCACTTTGTTTTACATTTTTTTAATGCCTGATATTGACTTGGTAGAAAGATGATAATAAATTCTATGTGTTTCTTTTAGATTACTCATGAACTGAAGAAAAAAATTTGTTAGATAGTTTGATTTAGGATTGTGACTGAGGACAATAGCCTGGAAGCAGTTCTGACAGACAGCTGCTATGCTGTGTTTTGGTTCACAGTTTAAAACAGACAGGCCGGGCATGGTGGCTCAAGCCTGTAATCCCAGCACTTTGGGAGGCTGAGGTGGGTGGATTACAAGGTCAAGAGATCAAGACCATCCTGGTCAACATGGTGAAACCCCATCTCTACTAAAAATACAAAAAATTAGCTGGGTGTGGTGGCGCGTGCCTGTAATCCCAGCTACTCAGGAGGCTGAGGCAGGAGAATTGCCTGAACCCAGGAGGCGGAGGTTGCGGTGAGCCGAGATGGCGCCATTGCACTCCAGCCTGGGTAACAAGAGCAAAACTCCATCTCAAAATAAAAAAACAACAACAACAACAAAAAAACAGACATGTGGGCCCTGTGCTCTACTTTGTTTTTTCTTCAAAGCATATTTCTGAAGAGCTGCAGAGTCCCGGAGTCAGGAATGTTATAAAGTCAGGCTGGAAACCAGAAATAAGTAAACATGACTAAGTTATGTGTTTTTTTTGTTTTGAGATGTTGCCATCTGTTGCCCAGGCTGAAGTACAGTGGCGTGATCTCGGATCACTGTAACCTTTGTCTCTAGTACAAACGATTCTGCCTCAGCCTCCCAAGCAGCTGGGATTATAGGTGTGCACTATCACGCCTGACTAATTTTTGTATTTTTGGTAGAGATGGAGTTTCACCATGTTGGCCAGGCTGGTCTTTAACTCCTGATCTCAGGTGATCCACCTGTCTTGGCCTCCCAAAGTGCTAGGATTACAGGTATGAGCCACAGCGCCCCGGGGACTCCTGTTTCACTTTCATGGAGTTAAATAATCTTAGATGCTTCCTCCTTGACTTTATACATGCACACTGGAGGAAAGTGGGACTCTGCTCATATTTGCATTTTGTTGTTGTTGTGGAGATTCTCGCTCTTGTAGCCCAGGCTGGAGTGCAATGGCACGATATCAGCTCAACTCATCCTCTGCCTCCTGGGTTAAAGTGATTCTTTTGCCTCAGCCTCCCAAGTAGCTGGGGGTTACAGTCATGCACCACCATGCCTGGCTAACTTTGTATTTTTAGTAGAGACAGGGTTTCTCCATGTTGGTCAGGCTCGTCTTGAACTCCCAACCTCTGGTGATCTGCTTGTATCAGCCTCCCAAAGTGCTGGGATTACAGGTGTGAGCCACCGTGCTCAGCTAAGAGTCACGCCATGTTGCCCAGGCTGGAGTGTAATGGCTCACTGCAACCTCTGCCTCCCAAGATCAAGTGATTCTCCTGCCTTAGCCTCTTGAGTAGCTTGGATTACAGACTCGGGCTACCACACCTAACTAATTTTTTGTATCTTTAGTAGAGATGAGGTTTCACCATGTTAGCCAGGCTGGTCTCGAACTCGTGGCCTTTGTGATCCACCCGCCCCAGCGTCCCAAAGTGCTCGGATTACAGGTGTCAGCCACTGCACCAAGCCCTCTGCTCGTTATTTTTGTTTGTTTTTTGAGATGGAGTTTCGCTCTTGTTGCCCAGGCTGGAGTGCAGTGGCATGATCTTAGCTCACTGCAACCTCCACTCCCCAGGTTCAAGTGAGTCTCCTGCGTCAGCCTCCTGAGGAGCTGGGATTATAGGCATGAGCCACCACAACCGGCTAATTTTGTAATTTTTTTTAGTAGAGACCGGATTTCTCCATGCTGGTCAGGCTGGTCTCAAACTCCGGACCTCAGGTGATCCACCCACCTCAGCCACTCAAAGTGCTGGGATTACAGGCGAGACACCGCACCTGGCCCTCTGCTCGTATCATTCACACTGGGATTGAGAATGTGTCTTGGAATTGATAAATCATGTGAGGAGCAGGTGAATAACCTGCAGGGGGCAGCAGAGGCCACGCCAGAGACTGCACGCGGAGGCGAGTATGGAATTCTGCCAAGGAGGAAAGTGGAGTTCTCCTGGGTGGTACCTGGACAGCTGCCCTTCCCTGCAGGCGGCTTCCAGCTGCTCAGAGCAGATCCAGGAGTGTGGATTCTGAGATGCTGCAGCGCCCTGGAAAACAGGAGACCCACGTGCAGGTGCACTTGAGGAGTTCTGTCCTTTCTGTGGTTGTACCTCTGGAATCTGGGGCCGTTTTCAGGAGCAGTGTTTTGGGTTTGACATGTAATTTGCATATCTGAAGAAAATATGTGAATATCAGGTTCCGAGAAAGAATAGTTTGGGACCTCTCCTGGAGAAGGGGCTTATGAAGTTGACAGTTTATTTAGGTCAGAAGCTTAAAATCACCAAGTCAGAGTTTACTGCTGATGAAGATGAAGGTCTGGAAGGAGGGAGCGTTTCCACAGAGTTAGGGTGAGATGTGTGAGAAAGCCTTGGCTTTGTCTCATCCCTAATCCCGGCCAAAAGGACAACTGCTTCTCCCTCCTGGTGCAGTCGTGCCTGGCCTGGTCTGGGTTCCCCTTCCTGCTCTGAGGCCAGCAGATCCCTCCATTGGACACACTTAGGACCCTGTGCAGGATGAAATATGGACAGCCCATTGAGTGAGGAAGCAGATAGTGCCCTGTCTAAAAATCTGGAGCAAATCTGGCTGAAAAGAAAATATCCAACGACCAGGGCTGAGGGAGAGAGTCGTCCTTTAGAGAGAGGCTGTGGCTAGAACCCATCACTGCGGCTCTGCAGGACCAGTTATCCAGGGCTTCTGCCGTCACTCAGTTCTGATGGGGCGGGGCCTTGCACCTTATCCAATCAGGAGCGCTGCGGCGGGCCCGGCCTACTGTCCATCCGGAAGGAGGAGGCCCATCCCGGCTTCTGCTTTAGTTGCTGTACAGGTTGTTGTCGGCATCCCAGATTTCCTGCTCCGAGAGGCGCCGGGTCCCTCTGCCTCAAGTTCTGTCGCCCTGTTGCCTGCGCTGTGACCTGCTCTATTCACGGGAGCCCTAAAGAGGACCCCAGGACACCCAGAAGCCCGGAGATGGTGTGTGGGGCCAGAGTCCCTAGACGGGGGAGGAGCTGGGTGGAACCGGCCGGAAGCGTCTGTGACGGGACCTGGGCCTCCTTGCGGCGCCTCGCGGATCTGGGACCCAAATTCCCTGGCGCAGCTCGGCCCTCTGTCCCCTCGGCCGCAGGGTGAGGCTGGGCCGGCAGCCAGGACTCCAGGCGTCCTGTCTTGTTCCGTCCTTTCTCTGCGCGGGCAACTGTGGGCCCCGGCCCCAGAACCCTCTCTGGGCAGCTCCGCGTCTCGCCAGATTCTGCTGGGACGGGAGGGTCATGGAGGAATCCCACTGGGTTCGTGTGGGAGGAGCTGCGGTGTGTGGGGGGGTCCCTGTACGTTTTTTCCTGTTAAAAATTGAAGAGTTTGAGCAAACAGCGATTCATGAATGAGCAACACTCAGTCATGATTTGTGGTTTGTCACCAGAAAACTTTAAGAAGAATAGCATTTTATGGCCGGGTGCGGTGGCTCACGCCTGTAATCCCAACACTTTGGGAGGCCGAGGCGGGTGGATCATGAGGTCAAGAGATCGAGACCATCCTGGTCAACATGGTGAAACCCCGTCTCTACTAAAAATACAAAAAATTAGCTGGGCATGGTGGCGCGTGCCTGTAATCCCAGCCTCTCAGGAGGCTGAGGCAGGAGAATTGCCTGAACCCAGGAGGCGGAGGTTGCGGTGAGCCGAGATCGCGCCATTGCACTCCAGCCTGGGTAACAAGAGCGAAACTCCGTCTCAAAAAAAAAAAAAAAAAAAAAAAAAAAGAAGAAGAAGAATAGCATTTTGTTAACGGTGGAGGATGTCCAGGTTTTTGGCGTCTTGAACAAAGAATTGGACAACACGCACAAAGCAAGCAAGGAATGAAAGGCTTTAACACTCAGTGTGCGAGCGGGCCTGAAGCACAGGGGCTCAAAGGCCCCGTTACAGAATTTTTGGGAGTTTAGCCCCTAGAGGATTCCATTGGTTATTTGGGGTATGCCCTATATAGAAGGAGAGGATGAAGTAAAGTTACAAAGTCATTTATTTCGCTTATGCCGTATGGAGAGGGTATTTCCTTTCATAGCTGAAATGTGAATGGGCCTTATGTTTCCTGCTTCCAGACCCTATTTTCCTGCCTCAATCTGAGTTGGATTTTGGTGTCCTTAGGTAGTTCCTTACATTGATAAACATACTTAAGTCTAATTGTTGCTGCTTTAAATTTGTTCACACTGTCTATGGAGACTGGTTTCCTCTTGCATTTTCCTAATCTATGGGATGCAGGTTCTCAAATCCTCCACCCTGCTACCCCACCCTAACTCCTCAACGGTTTGAAATTACATCTTATATTTTCAATTTCTTTCCCACATCTCCAAACATTAACTCTGCTTCTCCAGCTCACAGTATGATCAACTTTCTTTTGAGATGCAGTTTCGCTCTTGTTGCCCAAGCTGGAATGCAATGACATGATCTCAGCTCACTGTAGCCTCCACCTCCCGGGTTCAAGCGATTCTCCTGCCTCAGCCTCCTGTATCAACTCTCTTTATTGTAGAGTATATTTCTTCATCCTTTCTTTAACAAAGATGCAGTATTTTAGTGGTTTATCATCTTTTCACAGGGTCATGGATGACTTTTTAAAAAATATTTGTGTTCTACCTGGGCGCGGTGGCTCACACCTGTAATCCCAGCATTTTGGGACGCTGAGGTGGACAGATCACGAGGTCAGGAGATCAAGACCATCCTGGCTAACAAGGTGAAACCCTCTCTGTACTAAAAATACAAAAATTAGCCAGGCATGGTGGCACACACCTGTAGTCCTAGCTACTCAGGAGGCTGAGGCAGGAGAATCACTTAAACCAGAGAGGAGGAGGGTGCAGTGAGCCGAGATCATGCCACTGCACTCCAGCCTGGGCAACAGTGAGATTCCATCTCAAAATAAGTAAATAGATAAATAATAAAGTATTTGTGTTCTATTTCTGAAATTTCATAAGAGGAAAATAGAGAATAACCACTTGATACTCCAGTGAAAAACCCGTTCCTCTCTTATCTTCACTAGGCAAAGACACCATCTCAGAATATTTGTGGGTTTTTCCTTTTTTTTTTTTTTTGAGATGGTCTCACTGTCTCCAGGTTGGAGTGCAGTGGTGAAATCTCAGCTCACTGCAAACTTCGCCTCCCAGGTTCAAGCAATTATTCTGCCTCAGCCTCCTCAGTAGCTAGGACTACAGGCATGCACCACCATGCCCAGCTAATTTTTTTTGAGGCAGAGTGTCGCTCTGTTGCCCAGGCTGGAGTACAATGGCGCAAACTCAGCTCTCTGCAACCTCTGCCTTCCAGGTTGAAGTGATTCTCCTGCCTCAGCCTCCTGAGTAGCTGGGATGACAGGCATATGCCACCACACCCAACTAATTTTTTTGCATTTTTTAGTAGAGACCGAGTTTCACCATGTTGGTCAGGCTGGTCTCAAACTCCTGACCTCAGGTGATCCACCTGCCTCAAACTCCCAAAGTGCTGGGATTACAGGCGTGAGCCACCATGCCTGGCCCACAGACATTTTTTTTTTTTTTTTGAGACGGAATTTTGCTCTTGTTACCCAGGCTGGAGTGCAATGGCACGATCTCGGCTCACCGCAACCTCCACCTCCTGGGTTCAGGCAATTCTCCTGCCTCAGCCTCCTGAGTAGCTGGGATTACAGGCACGCACCACCATGCCCAGTTAATTTTTTGTATTTTTAGTAGAGACGGGGTTTCACCATGTTGACCAGGATGGTCTCGATCTCTTGACCTCGTGATCCACCCGCCTTGGCCTCCCAAAGTGCTGGGATTACAGGCTTGAGCCACCGCACCCGGCCCACACATTTTTAATTTTAATAAATATTTGCCTTTTGTCTTAAGATTGGGCCTCTTGGTTTTTGTTTTTTGTTTTGTTTTGTTTTTTTTTTTTTTTTTTTTGGTCAAAATTTTTTCTGCAATCAGCCTTCAGTAATTCATCAATTACAATTTAGGTTTTCCTACTCCAGTACTCATTCCCATAAAGGCTTCTGCTCATGCGTTTGTTTCAGTTAGTTGGGACTCTTATCAGATCAGTTGGTGGAACCCCTTGCAAAATCCAGTCTTTTTTTTGTCTTTTGTTTTTGGTTTCTGCTGCTTGAATCAGAACAAAATCTACCTTCCAGACGCCAGCAATGGTTAAAGTTTGTGAATAGGTATTTTTAAGGATACCCAGGCTCAGGACTGCTAATGTTAACTTTTTTCTACATACAAATTTGTAGGACTTTGTCATGAGAGATGCTATAAATCCACAGTACAAAGATACAGTAGGGGCAGCCCAGACAGTACATGTTTTTTACTAGATTCACCAGAAAAACACATTTTCCTATTCTGCTGTTGCTTTACCTCATAGCTCACTTCTATTATAAGAATTCAGGGCCCGGGCGCAGTGGCTCATGCCTTTAATCCCAGCACTTTGGAAGGCCGAGGCGGGCAGATCACGAGGTCAAGAGATTGAGACCATCCTGGCCAACATGGTGAAACCCCGTCTCTACTGAAAATATAAAAACTGGCCGGGCGCGGTGTCTCAAGCCTGTAATCCCAGCACTTTGGGAGGCCGAGGTGGGTGGATCACGAGGTCAAGAGATCGAGACCATCCTGGTCAACATGGTGAAACCCCGTCTCTACTAAAAATACAAAAAATTGTTGGTCGGGCGCGGTGGCTAACGCCTGTAATCCCAGCACTTTGGGAGGCCGAGGCGGGTGGATCACGAGGTAAAGAGATCGAGACCATCCTGGTCAACATGGTGAAACCCCGTCTCTACTAAAAATACAAAAAAATTAGCTGGGCATGGTGGTGTATGCCTGTAATCCCAGCTACTCAGGAGGCTGAGGCAGGAGAATTGCCTGAACCCAGGAGGCGGAGGTTGCAGTGAGCCGAGATGGCGCCATTGCACTCCAGCCTGGGTAACAAGAGCGAAACTCCGTCTCAAAAAAAAAAAAAAAAAAAAAAGAGAATTCAGGGCCCGGGCGCAGTGGCTCATGCCTTTAATCCCAGCACTTTGGAAGGCCGAGGCGGGCAGATCACGAGGTCAAGAGATTGAGACCATCCTGGCCAACATGGTGAAACCCCGTCTCTACTGAAAATATAAAAACTGGTCGGGCGCGGTGGCTCAAGCCTGTAATCCCAGCACTTTGGGAGGCTGAGGTGGGTGGATCACGAGGTCAAGAGATCGAGACCATCCTGGTCAACATGGTGAAACCCCGTCTCTACCAAAAATACAAAAAAATTAGCTGGGCATGGTGGCGCGTGCCTGTAATCCCAGCTACTCAGGAGGCTGAGGCAGGAGAATTGCCTGAACCCAGGAGGCGGAGGTTGCGGTGAGCCGAGATTGCGCCATTGCACTCCAGCCTGGGTAACAAGAGCAAAACTCCGTCTCAAAAAAAAAAATATATATATATATATAAACTAGCTGGGCGTGGTGGAGCGCACCTATAGTCCCAGCTACTCGGGAAGCTGAAGCAAGAGAATTGCTTGAACTGGGAGCTGGAGGTTGCAGTGAGCGGAGATTGTGCCACTGCACTCCAGCCTGGTGGCACAGCAAGACTCCATCTCAAAAAAAAAAAAAATTAATTTGTTGAGTCTGGATGTGGTTGTTCATGCCTATAATCCTAGCATTTTGGGAGGCCAAGGCAGAAGGATTGCTTCAGCCCAGGAGTTCATTACCAACCTTGGCAATAGAGGGGGACCTTGTCTGTACTAAAAAAAGAAGCTACACATGGTGGCAAGCACCTGTAGTCCCAGCCACTCTGGAGGCTGGGGGAGAAGGATCACTTAAGCCAACGAGTCCAAGGCTACAGTCATACATGACAGTATCTGTACACTCAGGCCTGAGCAAGACCCCGTCTCTTTTTTTTTTTTTTGAGACAGAGTTTCACTCTTGTTACCCAGGCTGGAGTGCAATGGCACAATCTCGGCTCACCGCAACCTCCGCCTCCTGGGTTCAGGCAATTCTCCTTCCTCAGCCTCCTGAGTAGCTGGGATTACAGGCACGCGCCACCATGCCCAGCTAATTTTTTTTGTATTTTTAGTAGAGACGGGTTTTCACCATGTTGACCAGGTTGGTCTCGATCTCTCGACCTTGTGATCCACCCGCCTCGGCCTCCCAAAGTGCTGGGATTACAGGCTTGAGCCACCGCGCCCGGCAAGACCCCGTCTCTTAACAAAAAAGGACTTGGTTTGTGGGAGGACATGAGTATAGACAAAAAGTAAGAGGTGTGATGATAAAGTCATGGGATAAATGTTTGGAGTTCACAGTATCACCGGAACTTCTTAGGAAGAAAGTATAGGCCTCCAGGGCTATTAGTCTTACCCATCCTCCTTTACATATGTGAGATGTTTCAGGATTCAGTGGCCTTTGAGGATGTAGCTGTGAACTTCACCCAGGAGGAGTGGGCTTTGCTGGATCCTTCACAGAAAAATCTCTACAGGGATGTGATGCAGGAAACCTTCAAGAACCTGGCCTCTGTAGGTAAGGTTGACAATATTACTTCCCAGTGAATTAAAGAACAAATATTTCTAGCTCATCAGTGCTGTTCAGTGATTTGGAATATGGACAGAAAATACTTTGATGAATAAATAAGGCAGGGCTACCATGTGCCATGAATACAGAATCTAATGATTTTTTTTTTTTTTTGAGACGGAGTTTCGCTCTTGTTACCCAGGCTGGAGTGCAATGGTGCCATCTCGGCTCACCGCAACCTCCGCCTCCTGGGTTCAGGCAATTCTCCTGCCTCAGCCTCCTGAGTAGCTGGGATTACAGGCACGCACCACCATGCCCAGCTAATTTTTTGTATTTTTTTAGTAGAGACGGGGTTTCACCGTGTTGACCAGGATGGTCTCGATCTCTCGACCTCGTGATCCACCCGCCTCAGCCTCCCAAAGTGCTGGGATTACAGGCGTGAGCCACCGCGCCCGGCAGAATCTAATGATTTTTAAATAAATTCATACTAATTCTGGATCTGTGTTTCTTCTGGGTCTGTGTTTTAGGAAAAACATGGGAAGTCCAAAACATCGAAGATGAGTACAAAAATTCCAGGAGAAATCTAAGGTAATTTTCTCTTGTAAGACAAAGCAATGTCTCTGGAAAATCTTAAAATGTGAGAAAATATTAAAAAGAAGCAAAAGAGCTGGGCACAGTAGCTCACGCCTGTAATCCCAGCTCTTTGGGAGGCCGAAGTGGGCAGATCACCTGAGCTCGGGAGTTCAAGACCAGCCTGACCAACATGGAGAAACCCTGTCTCTACTAAAAATACAAAATTAGCTTGGTGTGGTGGCACATGGCTGTAATCCCAGCTACTGGAGAGACTGAGGCAGGAGAATTGCTTCAACCTGGGAGGCGGGGGTTTTGGTGAGCCAAGATCAATCATACCACTGCACTCTAGCCTGGGCAACAAGCAAAACTCTGTCTCAAATTAGAAAAAAAAAAAAAGAAGCAACAGAAATAAGCCCAGTATTGAATTTATATGTTCATAGAATGTTTACGTAAAAACATATATGTAAATGTAAGATAGGTTGGGCTGGGCACTATTGCTCATGCCTGAAATCCCAGTCCTTTGGGGTGTTCAGGCCAAAGGATTGCTAGGGGTCAGGAATTTGAGGCTGCAGTGAGTCATCATGGTACCACTACACTCCAATTTGGACAACAGGGTGAGTTGAAATCTCAACTCAAAAAAAAAGACGCACATGTTTAGTATTTGTAAAATAGTTCACTTGAAAATAGGATTAAGGGCTGGGTGTGGTGGCTCACGCCTGTAATCCTAGCACTTTGGGAAGCCGAGGTGGGTGGGTCACCTGAGGTCAGCAGTTCAAGACCAGCCTGGCTGTCATGGTGAAACTGCATCTTAAAAAAAAAAAAAAAGAAAGAAAAAAAAGAAAATAGGATTAAGAAACCCCATAGAAATATTAATTTTTTTTTTTTTTTTTAGACGGAGTTTCGCTCTTGTTACCCAGGCTGGAGTGCAATGGCACGATCTCAGCTCACCGCAACCTCCGCCTCCTGGGTTCAGGCAATTCTCCTGCCTCAGCCTCCTGAGTAGCTGGAATTACAGGCACGCACCACCATGCCCAGCTAATTTTTTTTTATTTTAGTAGAGACTGGGTTTCACTATGTTGACCAGGATGGTCTCAGTCTCTTGACCTTGTGATCCACCCGCCTTGGCCTCCCAAAGTGCTGGGATTACAGGCTTGAGCCACCACGCCCGGCCCGAGATACTAATTTTTAAACAATGTATATACCCAGGCCATCTTGTACAGCATATGGTCCATTAACATTCAAATAATTCAGGTCACACCTGTAATCTCAGCACTTTAGGAGGCTGAGGTGGGTGGATGATGAGGTCGAGATCGAGACCATCCTGGTCAACGTGGTGAAACCCCATCTCTACTATAAATACAAAAAATTAGCTGGGCATGGTGGCAGGTGCCTGTAATCCCAGCTACTCAGGAGGCTGAGGCAGGAGAATTGCCTGAATCCAGGAGGCGGAGGTTGCGGTGAACCAAGATCGCACGATTGCACTCCAGTCTGAGTAACAAGAGCGAAACTACGTCTCAAAACAAAAACAAAAACAAAAAATTCAAATAATTCAGACAGAGCAGAAAGCTGACACTTTGCTGGGCAGTGTCAAAAATACAAGTGTAATACATGTTAATGAATATAAATCACTTTTTTTGCCTTCTTTTTTGAGATAAGAATCCCACTTTGTCACCCAGGCTGGAATGGAGTGGTGTAGTTTCAACTTACTGCAACTGCCATTGCCTAGGTCCAAGGTATTCTTGTGTCCTAGCATCCCAAGTAGTTGGGATTACTGGCATACACCATGACACCAAGCCAATTTTTGTATTTTTAGTTGAGAGAGGACTTCACCATGTTGGCCAGGGTGATCTCAAACTCCTGGCATCAAGCAATCTGCCTGCCTCAGCCTCCCAAAGTGCTGGGATTACAGGCATGAGCCACTATACCCAGCCAATATAAATCACTGTATAGCACTTTAGGAGGCCGAGGTGGGTGGATCATCTGAGGTCAGGAGTTCAAGACCAGCCTGGCCATCATGGTGAAACTCCACCTTAAAAAAAAAAAAAAAATCGGCCGGGTGCGGTGGCTCAAGCCTGTAAGCCCAGCACTTTGGGAGGGCAAGGCGGGTGGATCACGAGGTCAAGATATCGAGACCATCCTGGTCAACATGGTGAAACCCCGTCTCTACTAAAAATACAAAACATTAGCTGGGCATGGTGGCGTGTGCCTGTAATCCCAGCTACTCAGGAGGCTGAGGCAGGAGAATTGCCTGAACCCAGGAGGCGGAGGTTGCGGTGAGCCGAGATCGTGCCATTGCACTCCAGCCTGGGTAACAAGAGCAAAACTCCATCTCAAAAAAAAAAAAAAAAAAAAAAAATCACTAAAAAAATTTTTTTTTGAGATGGAGTTTCACTCTTGTCACCCAGGCCAGAGTGCAATGGCACCATCTTGGCTCACTTCAACCTCCACCTCCTGGGTTCAAGCAATTCTCCCACCTCAGCTTTCCGAGTAGCTGGGATCATAAGCACCCACCATCATGCCCAGCTAATTTTTATATTTTTAGCAGAAATGGGGTTTCACCATGTTGGCCATGGGGTCTAATTCCTGACCTCAGGTGACCCACCCACCTCGGCCTCCCAAAGTGCTGGGATTACAGGCATGGGCCACCATTCCTGGCTCTATAAATCACTTTTAATCAAATCCTTAACAATGTGCTTCTCATTTTTCACTGAAATCTTCTTATTAGAGAGAAACTCTTTGAAAGTAAAGAAAGTAATCACTGTAGAGAAAGCTTCAACCGGATTGCAGATGACATGCTGAACAAGAAAACTCTTCCTGGAGTAACATCATGTGCAAGCAGTGTGTGTAGAGAAGTTGGCCTGGGTCATTCATCTCTTAACAGGCATATCAGAGCTGACACTGGACACAAGTTGTATAGGTATCAGGAATATGAAGAGAATCCATATAGAAATAAGCAATGTAAGCAAGTCTTCAGTTATCTTGACTCCTTTCAATCACATGATAGAGCTTGCACTAAAGAGAAATGTGAAGAAACCTTCATTTCCCATTCATGCATTCAAAGACACAGGGTAGTGCACAGTGGAGATGTGTCTTATAAATGTAAGTACTGTGGGAAAGCCTTCTATTTTCTCAGTTTATGCCTTATCCATGAACGAATTCACAGTAGTGTGAAACCATATGAGTGTAAACAATGTGGTAAAGCCTTTACTCGTTCTTCTACCCTTCAAATCCATGAAAGAACTCACACAGGAGTGAAAGCCTATGAATGTAAGAAATGTGGGAACACATTCAGTTTTCCTAGTGAAATTTGTAGACATAAAAGGTCTCACACTGGAGAAAAACGCTATGAGTGTAAGCAATGTGGGAAAGTCTTCATTTCTTTCAGTTCCATTCAATATCATAAAATGACTCACACTGGGGAGAAACCCTATGAATGTAAGCAGTGTGGGAAAGCCTTTAGATGTGGCTCACACCTTCAAAAGCATGGAAGGAGTCACACTGGAGAGAAACCTTATGAATGCAGGCAATGTGGTAAAGCCTTCAGATGTACCTCGGACCTTCAACGGCATGGAAAGACACACACTGAAGATAAACCCTATGGTTGTAAGCAGTGTGGGAAAGGCTTTCCATGTGCCTCACAACTTCAAATGCATGAAAGGACACACGGTGGAGAGAAACCCCATGAATGTAAGGAATGTGGAAAAGTATTCAAGTATTTTTCTTCCTTGCGTATACATGAAAGGATGCACACTGGAGAGAAGCCCCATGAATGTAAGCAGTGCGGAAAAGCATTCAGGTATTTCTCTTCTTTGCATATACATGAAAGGACACACACTGGAGATAAGCCATATGAGTGTAAGGTATGTGGCAAAGCCTTCACTTGTTCCAGTTCCATTCGATATCATGAAAGGACTCACACTGGAGAGAAACCCTATGAATGTAAGCACTGTGGTAAGGCCTTTATTTCCAATTACATTCGATATCATGAAAGGACTCACACTGGAGAGAAACCCTATCAATGCAAGCAATGTGGCAAAGCCTTTATTCGTGCCAGTTCATGTCGAGAACATGAAAGAACAACTCATACCATTAATGTATGAGAAATCCTATTAGTTTTAGAAATAGGAGCATTCTTTTGTCCCACTTCCTTCGAAAGATGAGAAGAGAGAGTGGTGAAAGAACTTCTGGATAATTGCCTTTTGAGTTGAGAGACCTGAAAAAGGACAATAAAATCCAGAAGGACTTGGATGGTTCTGTAATATAATTCAACTATAGCCAATCTTGTATGAGATTTCAAAGGCACAGAAAAGGCATCAGTCACATATTAGAGGCACCACACAGGGAGAGAGGTATGTGGCTACCTGCTTCCAGCCCATTTTCCTGTCCTTTTTTTTTTTTTTGAGACAGAGTTTCGCTCTTGTTACCCAGGCTGGAGTGCAATGGCACAATCTTGGCTCACCACAACCTCTACCTCCTGGGTTCAAGCAATTCTCCTGCCTCAGCCTCATGAGTAGCTGGGATTACAGGCACGCGCTACCATGCCCAGCTAATTTTTTGTATTTTTAGTAGAGACGGGGTTTCACTATGTTGACCAGGATAGTCTCAATCTCTTGACCTCATGATTCAACCGCCTCGGCCTCCCAAAGTGCTGGGATTACAGGCTTGAGCCACTGCGCCTGATGCTTTCCTGATTGTTAAAGGAGAGTATCCCGCAAATCACTTGTCTCCATTCCTGAGTTGTAGGTCTCCAGAGGTGTCCCCAGGTGCTCCACATTGAAGATACATGCCCACTTTGCTATTTCTTCAGAAATTTTAAAATGTTGACCAGAGAACTAATAAATCTGTTATGGTTGGAAATACTCTCTAATGCTCAATTCTTCTATAGACTGAGCTTAAGGTCTACTTTGTATTGCAAGCACTGTTGTTTCTACAGGTAGTGACCCTGTTCTTGATTAAACCAACTAGATGGAAGCTTGTTCTTCTGCTGCATTGTGCAGTGACTGGTCTCACCAAGGGCTTTTGTGTGACAAGAGCCACCTTGCTCTTACCAGGAAATTTCAAGTGTTTCCTGTTATTCACAACTAAATGTGATGTCTCACTTCATTTTTAATTTTATATGAATATACCTAAAATAAATAAATAAAATAAAATGAAAATAAAAACACCATGTGGCTTCTTGGAAACAAAGACTTCTGTTCATGTATTTTAGAAATCTGTTTATTAACTGTTTATAACAACTGCATAATAGATACTATCTTTTAATTAAGAAGCTATATTACAACATCCCATTAGCATCAAGTATTAGATCAAGTTGATACTGTTAACATGTTATCCCTTGGACATTGAGAGCCAATGTAAATATGGATGTCAGGCATATTTTTCCTCATGTAAATTTTACTGTCCATGCTTATATTCTTTGTTTTTATTTGGGTCATGAATTTATTCTAAACACCAAAGGTCATCTCATGTTCTTCTGAGTGACTTCTCACCAAAGACCACCAGTGGTGGAAAGAGTGTAATATACTGTAGTAATGAATGTGACCAAAAGCCATAGATGACTGTGAGATGTAGGAGAATTACAAGGTAAATGTTTTCTTCTGTCACATTTCAAGACATGGTTAAAGAATTAGTTGTTTTTTATTGATCCATCATGGTAACTAATTCTTTAACCATGTCTTGAAATGTGACAGAAGAAAACATTTAAAATCATACACGTTGCAGGTGTATGACATGTGTCTGTTCAGTGGCAGAAGACTCAGCCTTCTGGTGAGGGGAGGCCAGCCATCAGACTTCTGAACCAGTTTTTGCCATGCTATTCTCTAAACCCTGATATATTCCCTACAATATGTAGACATTGTTTACCATAACACACTTCAGTTAAAATATATACATTCACTTCTTATTAACGTATATACTTTCTATCTATGTTTTTGTAGAGATGGAGTCTCCCTATGTTTCCCTAGATGTTCTTTGCCTCCTGGATCATGTGATTCTCCCATCTCCCCAGGTGCTGGGATTACAGATAAGAGCCACCACAGCCAGCTACTACTTTAATTTAAAAATCACCTGGAGTCCTGCTGGTTGCGGTGGCTCACACCTGGAATCCCAACACTTTGGGAGGCCAAGGCGGGTGGATCACCTGAGTTCAGGAGTTCAACACCAGCCTGGCCAATGTTGTGAAACCCTGCCTCTATGAAAAATATAAAAATTAGCCGGGCGCGGTGGCTCAAGCCTGTAATCCCAGCACTTTGAGAGGCCGAGGCGGGTGGATCACGAGGTCAACAGATCGAGACCATCCTGGTCAACATGGTGAAACCCCGTCTCTACTAAAAATACAAAAAACTAGCTGGGCGTGGTGGCGCGTGCCTGTAATCCCAGCTACATAGGAGGCTGAGGCAGGAGAATTGCCTGAGCCCAGGAGGCGGAGGTTGCAGTGAACCGAGATCACGCCATTGCACTCCAGCCTGGGTAACAAGAGCGAAACTCCGTCTCAAAAAAAAAGAAAAATATAAAAATTAGGCAGGCACGATGGCATGTGCCTGTAATCGCAGCTACTCGGGAGTCTGAAGCACGAGAATCGCTTCAACCCAGGAAGTAGAGGATGCAATGAGCTGAGACTGTGCATTGGACTCTAGCCTGGGCAATGGAGCAAGACCCTATCTAAAAAAAAAAAAAAAAAAAAAAAAATACTCAGGGGAAGTTCTTTGAGAAAAGCAAAGTCAATGAAGCTTCCTCTTGTGGTGAGGGTGGCATTAACATCCACACACTAAAGTGGAAAATCTCAATATGTTTTTCCTATGCATTCACATAACACGATGCCTCTTGCTCTGTTGTGTTCAGACTAAGATGTTGTCTCATGACAAGTTTTGGCACGCTCATTTCTCCAGTGATGCACATAATGAATCCTCACCATCTGTATATGAGCTGAACTAAAACACTGCATGGGAGCAGTGAGACAAAACTGCTCCCAGGTTATGGATATTGCTCTATAGTCCTCAGTTGGAATTCTAAATCAAACTCATTTTTATTTTATTTTATTTTTTTTTGGATGGAGTTTCACTCTTGTTGCCCAGGCTAGAGTGCAATGGGCAATCCCGGCTCAACACAATCTCTGCCTCCCAGTTTCAAGCAATTCTTCTGCCTTAGCCTCCCGAGTAGCTGGGATTACAGGCATGCGCCACCATGCCCAGCTAAGGTTTTGTATTTTTAGTAGAGACGGGGTTTCACCATGTTGACCAGGATGGTCTCGTTCTCTTGACCTCGTGATCCACCCGTCTCGGCCTCCCAAAGTGCTGGGATTACAGGCTTGAGCTACCACGCCCAGAAATCAAACTCTTTTTTTTTTTTTTTTTTTTTTTTTGAGACGGAGTTTCGATCTTGTTACCCAGGCTGGAGTGCAATGGCGCGATCTCGGCTCACCGCAACCTCCGCCTCCTGAGTTCAAGCAATTCTCCTGCCTCAGCCTCCCAAGCTGGGATTACAGGCATGCGCCACCACACCCAGCTAATTTTTGTATTTTTAGTAGAGACAGGGTTTCAGCATGTTGACCAGGATGGTCTCGATCTATTGACCTCGTGATCCGCCCGCCTCTGCCTCCCAAAGTGCTGGGATTACAGGCATGAGCCACCGCGCCCGGCCTCAAACTCATTTTTATTCTTTGTTCTTTTTTGTTTGTTTTGTTTTTTTTGATGGAGTTTCACTCTTGTTTCTCTCCACTGTGAATTCTTTCATGACATTCAAAGGAAATGAAATAAATGAAAGCTTTTCCACATTTCTTACATTCATAAGGCTTCTTGCCAGTGTGACTCCTTTTCATGTCTAGGAAAGGATCTGGTACTATGAAAAGCTTTCCATACATGTTACATTCATACAGGCTCTCCCCTGTGAGAGTTCTCTTGTGTACTTGAAAGGAAATGGGATGGGTGAAGGCTTTACCACATTGTTGACATTCATATCGCTTATCCCCATGGACAGTGTTAAAGAAATTAAAAGCAGCAACTGGACTGAAGTATTTCTAGTGTACCTAGGTTCTACCTAAGGAACTGAACTACAGCTAAAATGCAATTCTAAATTTTTCTGAAAAACACAAACCATGACTGGGTGATTCTCATTCATAAATCACTATATTCTCAAACTCTTTAATTTTTAACTACCCCAGTTTAATTTTTGTTTATCTATATATTATAAAGGACATTACAAAGGATATAAATGAACAACCAGATAAGAATGATAGAACAACATGTGGGGTGGGGGATACAGAACCTCCTTGCTTTCTCTGGGTGCCCCAACATCCCAGCATCACCATGTGTTCAGCAACCCAGAAGCTCCTCAGTTTTTTAACAGGAATAAAACGTACTGGGGACCCCAAGGACTGCAGTTCCTACCACAAGAGCCCCAGACAAGGCAGGACTCTCATGTCACATGTGACCCTGGTACAATCTGGGCACAGAGCTGTCCAGAGAGGGCTCCGGGACCAGTCACCAGGCAGGGACGGGACAGGATGCCAGGGGTTGTGGCTGCTGGCCCAATCTCATCCTGCAGACAAGGGGACTGAGAGCCAAGATGCACCAGGAGAACTTGGGTCCCAAACCCTGAAGTCGCATGCAGAGAGCCTGGGGTCCCACCACTGCTGGTTCTGGCCATTTACAACCAGCCCCTGCCCGGTCTCGGGTTGCTGGCCCCGAACACTCACCATTTCCCAGCTTTCAGGTGTCCTAGCTTCCTCTCTAGGGCTCCTGTGACTAGTGCAGGTCACAGCGCAGGCGACAGTTGTGGTGGAGGGACCTGGCCCCTCTCACAGCTGGAAAGACCAGATCCCAACCTCAGTGGGCACTGTCACCAGGGTGAGAACAGGAATGCATCCCCACCTTCCCAGGATGTACAGTTGGCAGGGTTTACCCCAGCATTCCTGACTGGATAGGGGTCCAGGCCCCATCCCCTCACCGCGGAGTGACAGTGGAAGCCCTGGGTAACCTGACCTGCGGAGCTCTCTCCCTACAACTTGGGTGTTGGATATTTTCATTTTAGTGAAATTGTTCCTGACTTTTTTTTTTTTTTTTTTTTTTTTTTGAGACGGAGTTTCGTTCTCGTTACCCAGGCTGGAGTGCAATGGCACGATCTCGGCTCACCGCAACCTCCGCCTCCTGGGTTCAGGCAATTCTCCTGCCTCAGCCTCCTGAGTAGCTGGGATTACAGGCACGCACCACCATGCCCAGCTAATTTTTTTGTATTTTTTTAGTAGAGACGGGGTTTCACTATGTTGACCAGGATGGTCTCGATCTCTTGACCTCGTGATCCACCCGCCTCGGCCTCCCAAAGTGCTGGGATTACAGGCTTGAGCCACCGCGCCCGGCCTAATTGTTCCTGATTTTTTGACAAGTTACTATCTTCTTCATCATTCAAAGGGCTGTCCCTGC